TTTAATATTTTTATTTTAATGAAACACATGCAAGATTGCAAGTTCTTTTCATACAATGCTCTCGCTACTGCCATCAAGAATGAGTTCAATAATGCTTCAAATGTTAATGTTATCTTTAACAAGAAGTTTGTGAAAGAATCTAAGTTTGGTCAGTATGTCAGACCATTAGCTATCGTCATTGACCGCAAACGTTATACTTCACAAGAGTTAGCAGTAGTTTTGAAACAAAAGAGTTTCTTCGTGAATGTCAAAGATACTCATTATACTGTTATAAAGAACTCTAATATTGACTTCTTCAGTATTGCTTTAAATCTTTCCGAACAGAAAGAATATAAGAAGGGTGAAACAAATGTGAAATATTATCTTTCATCTCTGAAGACAATAACGAACAAAGATGTTATACAAAAATTCTTACCAAAGGTTGAAGAAGCTTCTATTGACATTGACGAAGAAAGTGAAATGGTTGAAGAAATTGACCCTGAAGCTATTTAAGCAAAAATATATTTTTGAATAACTGATGGTGTCACTACGTCACCATGTCACCAGGTCAATTAACTTCTTTTAAAAATGATGACAACATGACATTTTGACAACAGTCCAGGAAATAAATTTTATCGTTAATGTTTACGTTAATGTTTTCATTAAATTTTGACAAAGTGCAAATCTTCACTTCGTCAAAAAGTTAATGTTTTTCATTGAAATCGGTAAGTTTTCATTAAATTTTGACAAAGTGCAAATCTTCACTTCGTCAAAAAGTTAATGTTTTTCATTGAAATCGGTAAGTTTTCATTAAATTTTGACAAAGTGCAAATCTTCACTTCGTCAAAAAGTTAATGTTTTTCATTGAAATCGGTAAGTTTTCATTCTTCCTCTTTGAAGTTATCGAAATATTCTGTTATTTTTTCCTTCAGTAATGGTAAGTCTTCTTTGAATGTAAGTATTGTGCAACCTTTGATGTCATAGTGTGTTTGAGGAAGAGTATTTTTGACAATTTCCTTTATTTGCTCATTCGGTGTCATTGAAATCGGTAAGTTTTCACGATAGAACCAGTTTCTGTCAGATTTATATATTTTAGCTAAGTCATAAAAGCTCTTGTTGTTTCTTCTGACTAAATGTAACATAACCATATCTTTATCTTCTTCTTTCTCCAACTCTTCAGTATATATCATATACCTATAACTCTTTTCCTTTCCTTTTGGTACTGAACGTAGTATTCTTTTCTGTATGCTTTTGTCTTTGGATTCAATGACTTCATCTTTTGCTTGAAGTTTCTTTTCCATCTCTCCACGTTCTGCTTTATATAGTTCATCTAACATCATGAAAATATAACAAGCATAACGAGGTGAAGCCCACATTGCTACAGCATTTACTAAAAGTCTATGAACATAATATCCTTTCAAATCAGGTGCCAAATTCTTGCGATTTTCGAATGGAATCTCTTCTCTCGGTTTTCCGAGGGAAGCAATCATATGAGGAAATTCTTCTAAAAGTTCTTTTGTCTGTTGGTTTTCAAACCAATGATATGCTTGCTTTGTAGAACTAAGAGCATTCATTATACTTTGCATTTGGTACATGTCATCTTTGACTGAACGAATGAGACGTAACTGTTTGTTATACTGTATGTACTCGTATTCTTCATTTATGGCTTCATGAACGATAGCAGTTGTTGTGTTCTCTGATGTTGACATTACTGTCTTTACATACAAAATAAAAAAATTTGTTAGAAAAAAATTAGCGTTATTTTCTGACTTTCACAAAAGACCAAAAATAAACGCTTTACATGTATTTTTCAGCAACTTCGTCAAATAATTTTATAGCTTTATCTATCTCATCTACTTCAAACGTTTCTTTACCTTTTATGGGAGCACCATACATTTTCTCAAACTTTTCAAGTAGTTCTGTTTCAGCAGCTCTCATACATTAACAAACACAACCTTGACTCTATTGACTGTACTGTCATATCTTTGAGTTATATTATATGTTCTTCCTATCTTATATCTCTTTGTATTGAAGTCCTTCGGTTTCTGAACGATATAAAGTAAGCCTTCACTGCAACGTTCCGTATCGAATGAACCATAAGTTATGAAGTTATATCCAACAACTGGGTCAATCCATAACAAAACTATTGGTATAAGATTTTGTCGATGAGATATGCTGTAGTTCCATAGAATCTTACTGATATCATAAGCTCAGGATTTCTTGTCAAAATTTTCTGAGTTGAAGCATTTCTAACCCAGTGGTTTGTTTTCTTTTCAGATGGATATAATGTCTGACAAAGAATATTTGTTATTTTCTTTGAGTATCTTACGTTTAAATCACCTATTCTAACCACTTTGGTGTCATTGTCAATCTTTCTAACTGTTTCAAACTCAATGTTTGTCATTACTGTCTTTACATACAAGATAAAAAAATAAATAAAAATAAAACTAACTTTATTTTTTCTATCTTAAGGAAATTCATTATTTTCGTGCTGAATTCAGCAAAAATATATTTTAGGGTAGATGGTTAGATCTAACCTCATTTCTACCCTCATTTCTACCCAGTTATTTATAAACATTTTACATGATATACGTTATGAATTCGTGAGATTCTAAACAGTTTTGTAGCTTCTATTTCTTCTTTTAGTACATCGAATGTTTTAACAATGCCGAAGGTTTCTTTATACTTCTTCTTGACGTCAGATAATAGGAAATCGTCAGCAGTTGGATAGTTTTTGTTCAGAAATGCTAACATGTCCATTTTATTTTCTGCTGGTTTTTCTGCTTCTTTCTTTAAGTCTGCATAGTCGTTTCGCATACGTTCTATCTCTTTGACGGAGTAGTTATATTTCCTCATTGCTGCTTTACATTTAGAACATTGCGGATTCATTTTTGCGTTATACATTGAAATAAAACCAGCTAGAACAACCAAGGCGTCAATGGTTTTCTTTAAATCTGAAGCAGTTGGTTTTATCTGTTCATTCCATACCTTACCTCTTCTATCTTTATCTCTTATCTGCCATACACATTCTGCAACTAATGAAACAAAGTTGTCGTATGTCTTAAACTCCCCAGATTTATATATGTCAGAGATGTTCTTTATACCATGTCGCAATCTTTGTCCATAACTTTATGGTTGCAATGATATCCTAGAAACTCATAATTTACTTTACGTATGAACTTCTTTATTTCTACTGAGTCAGTTGGTTTCACTTCTATTTCATCGAATTCAGGAATAGTGAGCTTTTGTTGTTGGATTTCAGGCAATTTGGGTAAATGGTCAATAATGTCCTGCATGTCATAAAGATATTCTTCATTTTCTTCATCCTGTGCGGTACAGTCTAAATTACTTGTTAACAGTTCTTGCTTTATCTTCTGGATTTTTGTTTCGAAAGTATATGAAGAAGGAATGAAGTTTTTCATCTCTACCAACATTGACGTAGGATTCATGACTAACGAGTTTGGTGCTGTTGTTTGAATTGTTGTTGTGCCGATTGTTGAAATCATATCTTTTATACAAAATAAAAAAAAATAAATAAAATAAAACTAACTTTATTTTTTCATCTTAAGGAAATTCATGAAAATTCAAGACCCTTTGGGTCTCGCCGCTTAGCGGCTGAGGTTAGAAATGAGGGTAGAAATGAGGTTAGATAACTGTTATTTTTGACGAAGTGAAGATTTGCACTTCGTCAAAAAATCCCTGAAATCAAGAATTAATCCCGTCAAATACAAAAAAATGAGGGTAGAAATGTGGTTAGATCTAACCATCTACCCTAAACATTATTTTTAGTCATGGACTTCGTCCTCGCCGCTTTGCGTCTTTATGTTAAAATAAATGGTACCATTAATGATATCATGACTGTTCTCATTCATGTCTGATTTACATCTAATGAAAAAGTTTAGAAGAATTTTCTTATTCTTTCTGGCTTATTTTTGTCTTTCCAGTACTCTCGCTCTAATGGTCCCAGATGTGTTGACTTTGACTCTCTCAAGTTCTTAGATGGTATAACATCTTCAACGCCTCCTTCATATCTTACTTTATAAGTGTCATCGTTTGTGTTATAGTCAAGTATTTCAATAACCACTCCTCGCTTTGCTTCGTCAATGGTTTCAGCAAGTTTGCCATTACTACTTTCAACTAATTTATGTCGAGGGTAAAACGCAATAGAGTCGTCAGCAGCTTTTATAAGATATCCATTACCTTGCGTAGAGTCTACGATATAATAGTTTCTACTTAACCTTAAACGTTTCTTTGTCAACGGTTTGTCGTCAAGAACTACACGAACTTTTGTACCAGGAATGAGGGTAAATTGTGTTGAATTTCTGATATTTTGTGTTTGGCTTCGTTTCTTTTGTATATACTTTTCTTCTTGTTGTTGTGTCATTGAATTTGGTGTATGTCCTGTTGTAGAATGTGTTGAGGAATTATATACTTCGAGAAGATGTTTCATTGTTTCTTCGGTAAAGTCTCGCTCTTGGTTTAAATCTCTGAGCGTTCTTATGAAGCGGTTTATGATGCCGAGTATGTTATGGTTATGGTCTTCAGTAGTGTAGTGAGTTATGTTATGCTTAATGAGAAAATCTGTGATTTCATTGCTGAGGTATGCTGAATCCTGGTCTGATGTTAAAGTACTTGGGCTATGTTCTGCTACAAACTTTTGTAAAACTTAACACTTCACGAGTTCCTTTATTCCTCATTGGATATGCATATGCTTTACGAGTGTTAACATTAATGAAGATGAGGAATGGTTATGTCCTCCTTTTCTGCTTTGAATGAGAGTGTCAAATTGGTATGCGTCAGGAGCGTTGGAGTAAATTGGTAAAAAGTAGTCGTAAGGGTTTATTTTTGTTTGATGTACAACATTTTTGTCAAAGAACCTTTTCACTTCAGCTCTGTTAGTAAATCCCCAACTCTTTGCAGCTTCATTGAACTTCTTAAATGACCTCCATGGATGTTGTTCGAATACTTCTTCAAGCTCATTTATGTAAAGTTAAAGATTTTTATTCTAGGCTCAAGCGCGTTCATTGAACGCGGTACCATGCGAATATAGTCATAAATGGTGGCATATAATCTGCACCCGAGCCTGTTGGATTTGTTGTGAAAGTGTGTGAATGATTTCCTGTGGTTCCACAGAAAATACCTGCGCTTGAATCTACTGGGTCACTTGAAATATCATATCTATTCATTCCCTGTCTATCCGAACCTGCTGCAAGATTTGTATAACCTCTTTTTGTTATTGAATGTGTATGACTACCTGTTGTGTTTGTAGTTCCTGTATGAGTGTGCGGTGGAAGGTTTGCTTCAGTAATTTTCTTCGAACCTCCTGCCGTCTTTGAATATCTAGCACAGTATAAGAATTTGTCTACAATCTGCTTCCATTCACCAAAACCCAGAACTGTTGCTGGATTTGTTGAGTTCATTGACGTATAAATAGAACCAACAGGATATATGGTTTCAAGAATCTGAGTCTTTAATGTTTGAAGCTCTGTTTTGTCTGCTTTCTTATCTAACATTGCTGGTAGTTCATATGCTTCAAAGTTTCTGGCATGATCTTCAATGTTCATACATCTGTTATCTAAATTGTTTAGTGTATCTTTTACGCTTGTACTTGGATTCTCTAAAGGTGCACTTGAACCAAGGGTATAGTTCAATATTATGTCGTCTGCTCTAACAGTAGTGAAGGATTTATGTGTATGTTCTTTGTCAGCTTTCTTATCTAACATTGTTGGTAGTTCATGTGTTTCAAAGTTTCTGACATGACCTTCAATGTTCATACATTTACTATTTAAGGAGTTTAGTGTATCTTTTACGCTTGTACTCGGATTCTCTAAAGGTGCACTTGAACCAAGGGTATAGTTCAATATTATGTCGTCTGCTCTAACAGTAGTGAAGGATTCATGTGTATGGTTCTTGTCAGCTTTACTGTCTAATGTAGCTTGAAGTTCATTTATATCGGAGATGTTGTGTTTATGAGATTTCAAAACTTTGTTCATTGCTTCAAGTTCAACTTTGTCAGCTTTACTTTTAATAGCATCTTCAAACGTTATTTTTGACTTAACTCTCAAAGTAAATCTTGGTTCAACTAATACACCGTTAACATTGAAAGTAGAGGCATAAATTTCATCGTTATAACTAAATGCTTCTGGTGCTTTAGCTACATCATACTGTACAGTACAGCTTATGTCATAACCTTTAGCACGAATGTATTTATATCTTCTTTCATTAACATCTTCAGTGCTTATTTGTTCATCCTGTGTTAAATATCCATGGTAGTCCGTTATAATCTGTTCGTCTGAAGTTATATAATGAACGTGGTTCTTGACTTTATCACTCAGAGCTAAAAGCTCATTTTTGTCTGCTTTTTCGGCTAATTTCTCATTAACATCATTCACTTCTAATTCAACTCTTCCGCCAGAACTCTTATTATCATTAATCTTTTTCATTAATTCGGTAATTACGTCATAAAGACTATATTCTGTTTTCGGTTTTGTAAATAATGAGTCAAAATTTCTTTTCATCATTACATCGCTGACATTAATGATATCACCAATTCCTTTTTCATTTATTCTCTTCATTAATTCTGCAATAATGACGAATATATAATCTGTTAATTTATTCTCTTCATCGAGGGTTATAGAATGTTTTGAAATTGAATCATTAACTCCTCTAAATAAATCAATAACTTCAGGATACACGTTTTTAATGTCTCGAATAACCCGACCAGTATCCTGTTGTTCATGTTCTTCGTTCCCGTCGTTACGTGGTTTTATATCTCTAACCATCATCAACGCAGCATAACCGGAGGGTTTGTTGCTATCTGTTCGAAAATCCGTCCGTTATGTACGGTATATCTAAATAATTTCTTTGTGTTTGTTAAAACATTTGAAACAAGTCTTTTAAAACCATCTACAAAATTTCCTGTTTCACCTAATGTTCTTGCAGCATTTACAAGCTCACCCATTCCCGCTTTTGACCCCAAAAACGTCCATATTGCATTTATTTCACTCTGTATAGTTGTCCATTCAGCGAAACTAACACCCGCATTCGCTAAGCTGAAAATGAAATTCAGTGGATCGAACTTAATTCCACCTTCTTTTTCAATTTCAACGAACTCACTAACATGAGATTTTAAGTATTCTTTCGTTAAAATTGTTTTCCCCGATGTTATGTCATTAACGAAACTATCACCGTCAAAAGTTAACGAATTCAATTTCGTCGTTGATGCTTTTATTTCATACACCGCTTTATCAATAGTTTTTGGCTCACCTTCTTTAGAAGCATATGAAACATTAATGAATGAATTATATGTATTCGTGAATGAGTTAAAATCAATGATTTTCATTAATGACGCCTTTAATGATTCATTTACTGTTGAATCCCTTAAAGCAATTAATGAACTGTCATTTATAAAAGGTACACTGCAAACCGTCGAGTTTGGATCAAATGCTGTAGTTGGTGCAGGAATATTAATGATATAAGTCATTAAATCATTAAGTGACGTAAATAATGTTGTCGTTTTTGATTTAATTTCTTTAGCATCTGTTATATACGGTAATTTTATTTCTGTAGTTTCTGAATTAAAGATATTCGCTAAAATGTTTTGTAAACTGTTTTGAACAGCTGTGTAAACCGTTGAATCCGGAACTCTTACGATTTCACCGTCCTTAATAAAAGGCATTGCACATGGCGTAGTGCTTGGGTCAAATCTTTTTGGGTTATGATTCAACATATATTCTAATGCTTCATGAACAGACTTATATACTGTTGTATTATCTTTTTCAATAATTTCACCGTCCTTTATAAACGGCATAGTACATGGAGTTAAAATAGGGTCAAACTTTTCATAGTCCTTCCATTTTATGTATTTCTCAGTATTTCCATCAGTGATAACAATATATTTGTCAGTAAGTGTGAGAGAGTATTGACCAAAATATAAACGTTTAGCTCTGTCAGCTTCATACGCATATGCAGCTATACTCATATTTTAATGAGAATAAAATGTTGTTCTATTTACAAAGTACAGACCCAAACGAATACGGGACAGTAAAGCTACAAACAAACTTAGGTCTACAGAATGAGGCGCTTGCATTCAGAATGGTTGACTTTAATACTATTGCAACTTTTGTCATAACAGATGAAACAGATTTCATGGAGCTTGAAATAGATGGAAAGAAGCACGAAATAAGATTTCACAATAATGTAGAATATAAGATGGAAACATTAGCTGGAGTGTTAAATGCTCTCATAAATACTACAATAAACAAGGAGAACGAAGAAAACTTAATGAATGTTAAACTTATTGCAGGAGTTTTGAAGTTCAGTTATGCGAAGGAGTTTAAGATACCACGAATGAGTCATAGAGTTCAATTGCTTCTGGGTGCATACCATATGACATTTCCTTTGAAAAGTGTTGACAAAACGATTGAGATGAAATCTGTTCCATACGTATGTTATGGTAATTGTTTATACATTGAGTCTAAAATAGCTAATGTCACAGGCATTTCAGGAGTTAATAGTAAAGGTTCAGTAGAATATAATCTTCTGTTATGCAGTCAATTCAATGTTCATTCCAAACGTTCCTGTCATAGCAACTCATTTAGGTAAATGGGTTCGCATTAGTCCTCATAATTTGAAAGACATGCAATTCAGACTTGTTGACTTTCAAGGAGAGCCTGTAGAACTGAAGGCACCAGTGCGAATGACTGTTGAAGTTGACTTTTTAGAAAATATTAAATGCAACAGCTTACAAGAGAACTCAGAGCTAAAAATATAAAGTATGAATGTTATGTATTAGGCATGAACTTTGGTTGTTGCTGTTTGATGAAACAAATGGTTAGTTATGTCAGTCAAGAGAACAGAAAAATATTGTGTTAGTGAAAACTGCACCAAGTCAATAAGATTAGGTTTGCATTATGAAGATGAGTTCGATACTGTTGAAGAAGTTTTGGATAGATATTACAAATTGCTTTAATTTACTAAAACATATTTCAACAAAGCTTATATTCTGTTGAAAGTTTTGTATACTCGTTCGAATATTTATACTTAAACTCAACTCCTGTAGTTCCTGGTGTTTCAATGATGCGGATGTTACCTATTTTCATGAATGTGGCGTTTGACCACAGCATTCGATTTCAGGGTCGAGATAGTCAATGACACATTGTTTCCCTGTTATTCGTGAGATAACATTTTCAAGGTCCTCCTTTGTTAGAATTATTTGGTTCTTGCTTATAAGATTTGTCAAAAGCTTCTTATCGTCTTTGAGTAAAATTGTTTGGTATAACTGAAGAAGGTAATGGTCTACGTTATCTGAAGGATTTGTTTGAACATTTGTGTAAGGGTTGTCGTTGGCTTCTCTTGAAAGAATTTGGTCCAGTGGTGGATACTCTAACTTAACATCTGATGTAGCGTTAGCGTTTGAAGCTGTGTTTAAATTCACGGATTTCAGATCTGGTTCTTTCAAACACTCTGAACTATAGTTCTTTATGACAATATTGTTTGTCGTTCGTGAGTCAACATTTGATGTTGGTTCAATTGGAACATTAACGGCACCAGCTAAGATGGATTTGCTTCTCATTTCATATAGAATAAAAACCTTTTATATGTATGAAATGAACAATATACTCGACAAGGGTTTGAATGTAAAGCTAACGAATGAAAATATTGTTGAATTCACTGAGACAGGAGCTGTGTATAAAGATGTAGAACTACTGAACAAAAGAGCTAAGGGAAGAAGCAGGAACTGAACAAAGGGTGGAAGCCTATAAAAATTTATGTCAATGATGGCTCAGGAGGTTCAAACATAAAGTATGCAGAAAGTTATAGAGTTTATGCACTCAAAGGTGAAAAGCCTTCATTTAAGAACAGCTATTCTAACCCATATCCTCAAAAGCTAACGGATGGGGAAGTGGATGATATGAATGACAGCAAAAATATTAACAGAAATGGCGACAGAGATGCATGGAATTTGTTTACCATCAGTCAATTGAAGGTTAAACTTTAAAACAATGTTGGTCGTTCCCATGGAATATTTTTGACTTTAATGGTATTAGTCATGATATGAATCTCAAGGTATGAACGAGGAGAGATGAGAGACTTATATGCTTCCCAAATTTCTTCAAAAGGTAATGTTATACCTGACTGTTTCCAAATGAGTTCAATATCATAGCGTGAGAAACCTTGAAAGATAACGAAGTCAGTTATGAGACGTTTTATGTTTAAAGCTAAAAACCTCCATGTTTGCATAAGTATTGCTACAGTTAAATGGTAATGTCTGACTTTAGTAATGATGTTAGCTAATGGTGAGTCAGGCTTTGACACTAAACCTTTTCCGGCGAAGTCGTCACAAACGAGCAGAGTGTTTGAAGGATACTTTTTGAAGGGGTATTTTGAAAGTTTTGATAGAATGTAGTTTGTCAGTCGTTTCATATCGTAAACTCCTGAGTACTGACGTAAGTGGTGTTTGTCAATAATTCTTTCCATCTCTTCTGAAGTCTTTTGCATTCCTGACTGTATGAACTCTACGATGGCATAATATTTTCTCTTACGTCGAATGTAACGTTGAAGAAATTCAATGAGTTCACTGTCTGGAACTTTAACGACAGAGGCTTGAACTTTTGACATAAATGTTTTCGCTGTTGAATCCATTGAATCTGAAGTTGCTGATATAATGATTTGGTCATAGTAAGAGTCGTTTCCTAAACGCTCTGTTATGAGTATATGACGAATGAGGTTAAATGTCTTACCTGAACCCATCTTTCCACAATAGAAATACACACCATTTGAACAGAATTCATAATCTTTGCTGAAAGGAAGAATGAGAGAAGAGTTAAGTTTGTCTGTAGTTTCATTCATGTCTTCATCTACGTCATGTATTAAATGCTTCATTTTATCTCCATTAAAAATGCAAGTCAGAAATATTCAGAACATAGCACCGAGTCTAACTGACAAGAGTATAAAGATATACTATGAACATGTTATGATGAAACCAACCAAA